TAGATCGTGCTCTACAAATTTTAACCATGATATATTAATTTTTGTCAAAAAAACTCAAGAAGTAAAAAAGGAAAAAAATGAGATTTACAAATTATATAAAAGGTCAAACTAACTATTTTCAGCATGTATAGATATAAAAATAACTACTTTCTCCGTTCTTTTTTACTTGTTAAATTTTAACTTAACAAATATTTAAAAAAAATAATTGATGTAAGAAATCTATAATTTTACCCTAATAATTATAGAGTGTAAATATATTTACATACTATATCTTTCAAAGACATTAACTAAATGGAGTATGTTAGATATAATTGGAAGGAAAAAAAATTGACCTAGATTTGCCAAAAAGCACTAATAAAGGAAAATTAAATTAAAAAATATTTAACACGTAAATACGTAGAGAGAGAGTAATAAGAAATAATGTGTACTTTCGTTTGGGGAGTTCTTTTTAAAAAAATTATTGAAAAATTACTTTTTTAAATAAATAAATAAAATAGAGCTCTCTTTATATACAAAAATCAAACTTATTTTGTTTTTGTTATAAAATCAAGTTCATAAGAATATAATTAATTATAAAGAGAAGAAGACGAGAGAAGTAGATAAAAAGAAGAGAAATTCAACTGTGTTCTACAAATGGTGAATGATATCTCTATTTATAGAGTAGAGATATCACCTCAAAGGTCACCATGATAAATGCCCAATTAATAGATATAAAGTTATCCACCAAGGTTCATATCACCTTAGAGTTATACATACATAAATTCATCATAATTCTTAAAGTAATCAAATGAACAATCCATAAAAAGATGAAAATAAAATATCTTAATAAAACTGTGTTAAAGCTATGATATTTTTACGCCAGCTTGACAACATTCTAAAAATCAAATATATATTACAGTTAAGGATCCACTTGTTTTATGGAGTAGCCTAAAATTGAATTATTCTCTTTAACGGTGAGATCAATTTTAGGCTATAATGATGAATGGAATTGTGGCACTCCACTTGCCGCCAATGCGGAAGGATGCCGCCGAAAAGAATGGAATATTGTTTCACTTTGTTGGATGCGTCAGATACCGTATATAACAAGCGAGCTTTTTACCCTCAAATTCAAATATGTGGGCGCAAAATGCTATCCTGCTTTATTGTTACGTAGCAATAGAGAGGCCTGCTTATACTGCTTCGATGACGCCTTTTCGCCCTCTCTTCACTCTGAACAGGAGCGCTAGTAGACACGGGGAGGGAGCAAGCGAAGCGTGTCGTTTGTAATGAAAAGAAAGATATCACTATTTTGCCTCTTTGTTGGACCGTCGGTGCGAACACAGTGGTATGAGATATTCAATTTTAGGATATTCTACAAAACAAGTAGATCCTTAACGGTGAAATATTCGATTTTTAGCATCTCGTCAAGATGATAATGTAAAAATATCGTAACTTTTGCATAATTTTATCTCAAAACTTTATTTCCATCTTTTATAATGTCTCCAAAATTCATTACATCCAGCATCTATGAAAAATAATTCTTACTCAAATTATGAAAGACAACAAACTCAAATTTCATAAAATTAGTCATTAAAATTAAAAGGAAAAAAAATAATATTTTATAAATTCTTTAAACTTAACCTTCCGTACGATACAATAATTTAAAAGAAGACTTATTAACACAAACTATGTCACCCAATAATAAAAGCTTGGTGGCTCAATATAGTCAAATGAATTTGAACTATATGTAACTTATTGCCAATACACTTATAGCATGTTAGACTGACTTTCAAAATTTTCTTTATTTTGAAAAATATCTTTTTTCAAAATGCGTTTTAAAAGAAAAGTATTCTTGACGAGTCATTTTATGTTTGATTAATTAATTTAAAATTTATTTTTGTCAATATTAAAGGTATAATAAAAAATATATTAACTTGAGTCAATTGATATTTATATTCTCTAATTTTAAATGTATACAAGTAAATATATTTGTATAAAGTGAATAAATAAATGTATACGTTCTATCATAAAATTTATATTCTATGTGTATTATATCGCATATGATACGTGTACCTGCTTGATTAATGTTTTATATATATATATATATATATATATCAAGTTGAAAAGTATCAATTTGAAATGAGATCAAATTAAAGAATACATATTTCTGTATTATAACAAATCGCTTCTGTTTCAGCCAATGTTCTGAACTATCTAGAAAAATTGTTTTTTCAAAGCTCGAACAAACGATTATTTATAGGAAAAAACATAACAAAAGAATAAGTCTATTCTAGTTTTTACATTTTTATTATTTGAGCTTGGCAAAGTGGTATTACATTTAACTATTCATTTAGTTCATGAATGATTCTTTCACCAATCATAAAGTGACAATCATTTTGAGATTAAAGATAATTAAAATGGAACGAAGTAAGTACCTTTGATCGGAAATCTTCTCCCCCCCCCCCCCCTATTTTTCTTAATTGAACAAAACGAATTAGAATTTCATTATTGATTATTGATGAAATTGATAAAATGTCAATTATATTTAATTAAAAGCTTTGAATTCTTAATTTGAATATAACTTTTGTATGAAAGACAATTTATTTTTAAATTATCTTACTCAATAAAAATTCAAATTAATCAAAACTCTAATAAATTAGAGACAGAGCATCAATTTTAATTTATTTTTCTGGTGCATAGTCCCTTTCAAGTTTTTTGTGACGTTACGTCAATATATTAGAACTTGGGTGTCCTCAACATATGAAGCAAAGGAATAATATTAAGTTTTTTAAGAGATCAAAGATATCTTTATAAATTATACAAATGTAAAGGTAAGTTGATTTGTTTTGGGATTTAAAATTCAAATTTATTTAAACATTCAACCAACTATCAATTATTTTACTTTGGATGTAGTTTATTTTTTTTTGTTTTTCTATGGTAATATCTAGTAGGCATTTGACCATCAATATATATATTTTTTTACCTTTTCGTGCATGAATTTTTGAAATTTGAAAATATATTAAAAAGTTATTTTTTTAAAGCACGCACAAAATCAAAATAACTACAATTTTTATTTATGGCCATAATTTCAATTTCCGAACTCTATTTAAACAATAGAAAATTACTCCCTTTGTTATAATTTATTTATTTTACTTTTTTTTTTAATTTGTTTTTAAAAAAATATATTTTTTTATACTTCTTTATTTATTTAATATTTGATATGACTTATTTAAAACTATAAAATTCGAAGGGTGTTCGGATAAGTCAATTTTTAACTTCTGAAAATATTTGACAAATAATAATAGTCTTTAATTTAAATATAAATTGATTTTTTAAATTTTAAATTTCTTACTTAAATAAAAAGAAGTAATATTTTCAAATTTTTATAAGGAAATAAAAAGTGGTCCAACTTGATTATAACTAGAGTACTGGACAGCTAGATAAATATGACATCTATTTTGCCATACCATAAATCAGCCTATCCTATGCTTCCGCCAATTTAAGTCGGCGAATATAACCCATATTTTGTTTTATTTTCGGATAATGTACAAGTATTTTTTAATTTATGTTCAAAATTTCAGAGACACACTTACATAATACTAAGGTCTTATTATTTTATTAATTTATTTTATTAATAATTTTATATCCTTTTTCGACTTACATGACACTATTTTATGGGCTCAACACTAATTGATTTTTTTTCAAATTAAGATCACGTAAATCGAAAAGAGTTAGGAAATTACTTATAAAATAAGTTCGAAAGGATAATAGAACATTAGTAAGTTGATCCAAAAAATAACAAAAGATATCACGGTGTATAAAATTATCTTTTGCATTTTAACTTATTATTTACTATAGTCATGATAAATAAATAAACTACAAATAAAGAATTTTATAATTTAGATATGATAAGTTATGTTTCTTTTTATTCACCTTTACTTATTGACGATGAATTTTTATTTAATATAATGATAAATAAATGCGTATTTTACTATAATATGCATGACTAGTAACTTTAGAATTTTGTTTTTGAAAAATGATGAGGGAATTGGTAGTTATGTTAAAGGTAAAAAAAGACTATTTTTAGTTACAAAATTTTCAACTAAAAATAAAAAAGAAAAGTTACATAAATATATTATAACAAAAAATATTTATCTATTTATAGCAATAATATTTTTTAAATTAGATCACTTTTAATTCATTCATAAAACAATTTATTATTCATATATAGTACACATTTTAATGATTAATAAACATTTATTATATATTTTAATACACTTATATTACAATATGTCAAATTTTTACCAAACAAACATAATATATTTCAAAAAACAATTATAACTCATATATATTGCAAATTCACTTCAATACATATTACAAATTTAACATAATATTATTATAAGTGATAATAAAAAGGATAATATCATTAAAGTCATTAATTATTTATTAAATTATACTAATAATTTTTTAAATAAAAAATATTTTAATCTAACGAACAAATAAAAATAATTCAAAAATACCTTAATGTTCAACTCGAATTAACTCAATTTAATGTTAGCAAATTATGACTTCTACTGATGTTAACTATCAAAATAGCCCGACTCACTTATTTAATATTCTAATTACAAAATCCTCAAATTTTTTTCACACCAAATTAAATTAAAATTTTAAGTAAAAAATACAAAGTTATAATTTTTTTTCACACCAAATCAAATTAAAATCTTAAGTAAAAAATACAAAATTATAATTTCAAAATATTTCGAATTTCAAATTTATATACAATCAAACAAAAGACAAATACGTGGTACTCTATATTATTCTCTGCAAAAGCAGTCAGGCAAAACGGCTCCAGTTGTTGTCGTTTGCTATATAAGTCGCTGTCAATAGAGAAGCCCATATTCAACCTCCACTCTCGTCTCTCGGGTTAACTAGTGATCATGGTTACTTTAACCATACTAACAATTTGTTTTCCTAATTACACCTCAAAACTTCTTCTTATTTACAATCGGACCACCATCTTCTCCCACCTATAAATTTACCCTTCGACACTCGCTAGGTTTGCCAAACTGAAAAGCCTTAGGGCACTTTTTAAGAGATCTATACAAACAGAAATTGTTTATATAGATCTTCACTGAAAATGGCGAATTCCTCTAGAAGGCCGAGTGGGCCAGTGTTGCTTAAATCGGCGTTTGAGAGGTCAATCTCACCTACCGGCAGGTTCTGTAACACCACCACCACAGCAACTGATGCGATGTCGTTCGCTTCGTACAGCAACTCTAGCTTTTATTCCTCTCCGTCGACCGGCTGTTTCAACCGATCGGCTTCTCCGACGCGCGTGAATCTTCACGCTCTGGCGCCGGTGAATTCTTCGCCTAGCGTTAGGTTCTCCATTGACAGATCCATTTCTCCTCGGCGTTCCATGGCGGTGTCTCAACGTGATCAGGTGGTTCGGAAGCAGATCCCGAAGAGGACGTGCTTATGCTCACCTACGACGCATCCTGGTTCGTTCAGGTGTAGTATGCATAAGAATGTGAAGAATACTCCTTCGATTTCGTATTCCCCTAGCCGATTGAATGCACGGAGATCGGCGATGACAAATTCACTGGTGCGTATCTGTTCTGTTGAAGGTGATTTAGTGAAACGAGCTTTGGCTGCTCTTATTAGGCCATCGTCGCATCATCAGAGACGTCGAGGTGACTTTCAACCGCGTCCTAGCCGGCTTTCCAGAATGTCCAAAGCTGATAACCTGTGAAATTTCCGTGGTAACAGGTTGGTGATTTTCATATATTAACTGAGGCTCATCTCTTGAGAGTTTTCCGGCGGCGGCGTCTGATCCTGGCTGCGGTTCTTACTACTCCGGTGAAATGAAAGCTGTAGGGCAATTTTGATGCAGTATGGAAGTAGTAGAATTCTCCCTTGTACATATGGTTTTGTTGCAGTAACTGATTGCAATTGAAAGGACAATTTGGACTTTTAAAATCTAATTAAACCGATTAAAATTTAAAGCAAAAAAATCAGGAATTCGTAACTTCGATTAAAGATTAATTAACAAATCATGAGTAATTCGTTTGTGGATTTTTCTGATGTTCGATGAAGTGGTGTGACTTGTTTCTCTTTGTGTTCGTTCACAGCCTTTGTGTTTTCCGTCGTGTTTGGCGTTCATCGTTCCGTTTTGCGATGGCATTTCCCGTTCGTTCGCCGTATATGCGTTCGTCCTGTTTTGGCATCTTTGCGTCATCGTTCGAGGTATTTTATTTATATATTTTCCTTTTCTATATTTTTTTATATAGTTTTATTTACGTATTTAGTATTTATTTGTAGTTGAATTTGGTAATGTTATTCTTTTTGGTGTCCTGGTTTACAGGTTCGGCGTATAATTCAAATTCTTGGACTAACGGAGAGCTGATGCCGTGTACGTATTTAACTACAGATCTTCGTAAATTTTACCTTGTCTTGGATGACGGAGGGAGATGGGAGACTGAAAATGAACGTTAAATTCAAGTGAGACATTTGAACCTACTGGACAAAGTAACAAAAGAGGAATCTTGTTATTACAATAATGAAAATAATAATAATAGTAAAGTCTAAAAGGAGAAATAATAATTTGGAAATTAAGTAAAGGGGAAACGCCATTAATGAAAGCAAGAAAATGGGATACAGGCTGTACTGGTATGGCCCAGTTAGAATGCCAGTGGTCCTAAGCATGAACTTTCCCGAACATTGTGAAGTTACGGTATGATTAAAAATAGCTGGAGGTTAGTTGGCATATTGAGGGAAAGATAGGAAATGAGGAATGAGTCCAAAAAAAGGGAGGTCTTGAGTAGTTCCTACTTCATGATCCAGTCCCTTTTTGTTCATATTCATTCACACTCCCATTTAATATCCACCCTATATATACCAAAAACTAGTGACACAGAGTGCCAAGGAGAGGACTTGGAAAACGAAAGTTTTTTATTATCAACCTAAACATGACACCATTGGAATGGTTGCCACACTGCCACTCTATTTGTTAATATCCATTAATATTTCTTGCAAGAAATCTACAATTATTTTAAACCTAAAGTAACACTTATTGGTCATGATTCAACTGTATTTGACATAATTCTTTTATAAGTTAGATTTCAACCATTACCTAAAGATCTTTAGCAACCACATAACTCATTCACCTTGTAAAAAGCTTGTTGACCTAGAAAAGACATAAGATAATGCTCACAAAATTTCCAAGGAAGTTTTATAAAGGTGTTTGGAGTTTAAAGGTGTTCTCTTTTGGCTTATAATAAAGCAATTAAAGACATTTTATGATGGAGCCAAAGATTTGGATAGGAATTGTGAGAGGTGATTATTAAAACATTTTTCTATCATGACGAGGTTGCACGAGGGATCTACCCTTAGTATGTTAGGATGAATTAACGTGGTGTATTTAAGGAGAGGTGTCATGAATATGTATGATATTCGCTAATGACATATTATTTATCAACCAAACGTGCAGTTGAGTTAGCGATAGGTTGGAAGTTTGGACACGGTCCCTAGATCTAAAGGTGTCAAATTACATGACTAAAACAAAGTACATGGAGTGCAAGTTCAATGGTGTAACACATGAAAACAGAGGTGGAAGTGAAGATTAATATACAAGTCATACCCGGAAGAGGATGTTTCAAGTATCTTGGGTCAATAATCCAAGAAAACGAAAAATATTGATGATGACTCACACGTTGTATTGGAGTGGAAGGGTGAATTGGAGGTTTGCTTTCGGCATACTATGTGATAAGAATGTGTCACTAGAGCTTAAAGGTAAGTTCCGTATAGTAATGGTTAGACCTACTTCGTTGTATGAGGATAGAGTGCAGGCGAATCAAGAACACGCATGTTTAAAAGATGAAATTAGCAGATATGAGGAGGATGCTCAGATGCGTGTTTAGCATACTAAGAGAGATAAGATTAGGAACAAAGTTATACAAGATAAGGCGGAAGTTAGTGACTACTATGGCAGACAAGATGAGGGAAGAAATTAAGATAGTTCGGACATGTGAAGAGGAGGTGTGCGGATGCACCAATAAAAAGGTGTGAGAGGCTGACTATGAGAACACACCGTTTCTGCGAAGAAGGTATGTAAGACAGAGGTTTCCTAACAAACGATATTCTCCTTCTCTTGATTACTTGTTACTAACAGATTCAGTCAGCTTAGCTGTTTTGATAAGGCAATGCAGGTTGATAGCAAGTTCAAGTGGATTGAGGAAATGATGAAGTGTACTCACTCCACATAAATCAAAGTTGGGGGTTGGTCAAACTACCAGAAGGGAATAAGACAATCCAGAATAATGTATGTACAGGATGAAACAGAAGCATAATAGTTCAATGAAATATAAAGCAAGGTTGGTAATAAAAGGTTTTCAACAAAAGGCATGTATCAATTTACTGAGATTTTCTCCCTTGTGATTAAATTACCTACTATTCGAGTTGCTTTAGAATTGCTGTAGCATAAGATTTATATTTAGAGCATTTAGATGTAAGGACAGCCTCTCTTTATGATGATCAACATGAAAGACGTGTATGCGTAGCAACCTGAAGTGTACATACAGGCTGATAAGAAAAATATGGTGCGTAGACTGAAGAAGAGTCTCTATGGTTTGAAACAAGCACCAAGACCATACTTAAAGTTTGGCAGGTTTATGATGACTATTGGCTTACTTGGTATAATGATGATCACTGTTCTTACTTCAAGAAATTTATAAATTCGTACATCACTTTGCTCCTGTATATGGATGATATGTTGGTGACAGGTTAAAACATGTGTGGGATCACAAAACTGAAGGAGCAAATGTCTAGTGAATTTTTTGATAAAGAATTTGGGACTGGAAATTGAAAGAGACAGGTTGAAGCTGAGTCAGAAGAAATAGATTGAAAAAATAATTCTTAAAGAGGCTAAACATTTGGGATGCCAAGTTGGTGCACTTCAAGAAAATCTGAAAGCAAGTCCTTTGGCAGGTCACTTGAATTGGGATTGTTTTTGGCAAGCGTAGAAGTTAACTTTGTTTGAAAGAAAGAATCTTGAGGTGAGTTGCGACTTGTTCTTACTAAAGTTCTTTCCTGAAGAGATCATGTCCCATAAGTTATTTGAATTAATGTTTCTAAAGTATTAATGTGAGCTAAACTGGAATGAGTGAGCTCACATTGCGCATCATTGAATGAGTCTTTCTCGTGCTCTATTTTCTGCTTTGTGTTTATCCGTCTAATGGAAGTCTACTTATTTGTGTATGAGTGCTTTGTGGTAACTCTTTTCAGCCCTAAAACAGTACCTAATTCCCTGGAAAGATGACCAAGAAAAGACAACATATCCCATCAAGAATTGTGTCGTCTTTCATAGTGACAACAGCCATAATGTACTCTCTTATGCATGGTTATGATAAAGATAAAATGTAAAAAACTTCAATGCGAAATTTTAATAAATGGCAATCGTATAAAGATTACTAACTTTAAGGGATTAACATGAATGATGATCCATATAAAGAGTCATCGAGCATCCATATTTGTATTTTCTTTCTTATCCGTTCATCAAGTACATGTTTTCATCTTATGCCTTGGTTTGAGTTCATTGAGGAGAACGCTGAGACCTCTACTGTCAGTAGTATACTGACGTTCTCTTTTGTGGATTCTATATTGACCTATGCCAATATAGACACAGGTTTCATAGAGGAGCAGATTACAAAGTGTTGCTTTATTGCAGAAGTTGATTTGGTGAGCTCCACCCTTCACCGTGGAATTTCTTCTTTTTTCAGTTAGAATTTTTTTTAATTCAGTTTTTGGGGAATAGCCAGAAAATTTGTGTTCTGTGCATTCCCTTTAGCGCTCCAGTAGAAAGTGTCGGCTCTTGGTTGAAGCCGGTAAATCAAACACTATTTGGGGCCTTTATTTTCAATATAGTAGTAGGTTTATTCTTACTATTTTATAAAGAAATTTTAAATTAAAACTTGTAATTTTTATTTTTTTTTTAAAAAAAAATTCAAAACAGATTTGATCAAAACGTTCCTCAAGTCGAGAAAGGAAAATGAAAATAATAATAAATTGCCTGGACCTCGAATTTTTTTCAAAACATAATGTTCCTCAGATACACATTTTTAGGGTTATTTTTAAATGAGAAGTGTTGAGAAAAAAGACCTGATTATTTTCAAATGCATACATTGCTTGCGGAATAATGTTGACAATTTTTATAACATTTGCACATTTGGAAACTAAGTTTTTAAAATTAGAATTGATAAATTCTTAACAAAGATCGATAATGTATCAAGAGATTTCGGTCAGCAAAAAAACTATTAGAGAAAACTGATTATAACAATTTTTAGTGATTCCACATCTCAAAAAGCAGGAATAAACTTGATATTTATATATATATATATATATATATATATAAACTTGTGTTTAGTAGGGTTATGGTTGTTCACGATACTTGACATCATTTAGAGATTTTGATATATCTTCGAATTGTTGAAGATTTGTTGGAATAAAGTTTTTATTCAAAAATTTAGTTTTTAATTTCAAATTTAGAGTTTGATATACTTACTAAGTTCTGAAAATTTGTTCAAGTACATGCTAGAACAAATTGATAATAAGTGCCAATTAGGACTGGACTTAAAAGATGAATTATGACAATGTGTACAAAATCAAATATCTCTCATGTTCTTGCCGAAGAAAAAAGGACAAATCGGCCCTACTGGTCCTTATCTTATCACGCTATACATGTGTTTGTAAATTCTATACGAAAAATATCCTTATCACAAACACTCATCGAATTCATCAAAGCTTATACTTCACCACGAATTCTTGTAGAAAATTCTCGTTGCTTGAGTTGTGTCGAAAGAAACTGTCCTTAAGGATATTTCACCCGGTATCAGTGTATCCCAGGATTCAACAAGCTCTTCTAATAACTAACAAAGATTCAATTAAAAGAAAACCCAACATAAGAATATATCAAAAGAAAGAATTGTTTTCTTGTCTTCCCTCTTACTCAATATTAGTAAGAATTAGACTTATGTAACTATTGAGAGTGAAGATATTCTACATAATGTGAATATTCCACCCAAAAGTTGGCCCAAAGACTCCCATTTCTTTCTTTCTTGGTCAACAACCAAGCACATTTCCAACAAGTCTCTCTTCTTTTTTTTTTTTTTTTGGGGGGAGGGGGGGAGGCAGACAAATAAAATGGAATCTTACTATATTTATTGAATTTGGTCTAGCTATATTACAAGCTTCTGTTTTTACGATCAACAGGAAATTAGTAACCTCTCAAATATGTGAATGGTTGAAATAGTCAAAAACCATAAAAGGCATTGAACACATTAATGAATTGAAGGCAATTCATTTCAACAAAAGAAACATTTTGTAACAACCATATTATAACAGGGGAAAAAATGGCAATAGAATATTATTTATGGAGAGAAATATTTAGAACATAAAATAATATTCTCTTTCAAGTATAATAGGAAATAATATAACTTTTGAGATACTAGAATCATTTTTCCAACAACATGGAGATATTTCAAACAAGTATATTAGTTTGGGAAATTAAGTTACCGAGTATCTAAAGTGCACTTTCTTCAAATGATCAAAAAGGAAGGTGAGCTTGCTTCTTATTCCTGTGTTTGATCTTTTCCGCCTCTGCTTGGTTTGTGGTCACCTATGTTAGTCGACTTTCAGTACAATCTCTAAAGAAGAGAAATATATAGTTTATATACAACCTCTAAAGGAAGAGAATTATATAGTTTATATACAGAAGAAAAACTAATTTTGAGTTCTATTACGTACCTAAAAAAGACGCGAGAATTGGACATTCACAAGACCACTTCGCTTTGATTCTTATCATGATACATTCTTGTAGTAAACGAGTGGTTGAGAAACAAGTCCTATTGGGAGGGGCAGAGAACACTTGGATACCATTCTCACACTCGATATTGAGGTTGGTAGGTCAAATCCCATATGTCCATCCAAGTGATTGAGTTGAAGCTTTGAACGTAGAGCACAATGAAACCGGGGAGAGGAGTAGAGTCTACCAACTATGAAAGATATGAGTAGATTCATGTCAAATCTAGGTACAAGTAGTTGAAATGTTGTGATGTGATTTTGAACAACATGTTAGCAATAAAAGGTTTTTCTTTGCTCTACCCAAGTGCAACAATTAGATGTTGATTCCATGAAGTACATCTTTCTCATGGAATTTGCAGTTGAAATTTATATAATTCCACACAGAGCAAAGAGAAGTTAATACATATTTATTTACTACGAAAATGACCTCCCACAACCATCATCCTCTTATATATATTGCTTCATAATATATTATATTATATTTATATTTTTAATATTCATGATGTTCAAATAAATTATATCATGTTTTTTTCAACAACATAAAAAATTCAACCTACGTAAAAAACAGGATATTAGGTAGTGCGGTAAAATAAAAATAAAATATAATTAACGAAAAACAAAGTAATATACAAAATAAAGTATACATTAAGGACCAATATAGCCCACCTTCTATAGATGAACGATGAAAACTAACATTCTAAATCATTTGGCTTTCTTGTAAATCTAACATATCATAAAATAAAAAATAAAAAAGCCTGATTCCGAATTTTTAAATTTATGAATTTTGCTACGTAGGTTCGCTCTTGATCATAAATATACCGTAAATCAATTTTTAATTTGTAATTTCTGCATACACAATATTTTACAACATTAATGGATTTTTTTTTCTAAAGTTATAACCAAAATTCCAACAAATATTTTCTAAAATAATTATTACTGTTGAAACGATTAATTTAAAACCAAATTGAGAGAGTCCTCGGAATGTTTTGTTCAAAATTATGGTGCGCACGTCTTGCCCAAAAAAAAAAAAAAGAACATGAGACGTAGAAACAAACATGGAAGAGAAAGGAAAACAAAACAAATCTAAACAAACAATCATTGCAGATCTGATTTATCTGTCAATATTTTCCTTTTCTCTTCCATATATATATATATATATCAATTAATTGTTGTCGATCGACTATATATACGAATCAAAAAAAAATTAATTATTTCAAGATAGCGATACGTTCTAAAAAAAGTAAACGGAGAAGTTTTCATATGATCTTTTTTGTTGGAAGGGCGTGTTATTGAAGGTAATCTTTTTTTTTTTCTTTCTTTCAATTTAGGTTACATTTCTACAATGTATTATCTAATTCCATGAATCAAAATTACATCTGTACAATTGAATTTGATGATCACTTGCCATGAACATGTTTGAAAAGATTTGGTCTTTAATTTATAGTTATTTATTCATTTTCAGGGCAAAATTATAAGTTTGATTTTGGGGCTATTCTAAGATTAGCTTATTGGAGTTATAAACCATGGGGAAGCCAACAGGTAAGAAGAAAAGTAATGTAAAATCAAAGTCAAATGATGGAAATGTGAAGCATAAATCAAAAGCATTTGATGAGGACACAGCTGTATTTATCAAGATGTCTAAAGAATTGAAGGAAGAAGGGAACAGGTTCTTTCAGAAACGCGATCACGAGGGAGCCATGTTGAAATATGAGAAGGCACTCAAATTGCTTCCTAGGAACCATATTGATGTTGCTTATTTGCATAGCAACTTGGCTAGTTGCTACATGCAAATGGGGCGTAGCGAGTTTCCAAAAGCTATAAATGAATGTAACTTGGCACTTGAAGTTGCTCCCAAGTATAGCAAAGCTTTGTTGAAGAGAGCAAAGTGTTATGAGTCATTGAATAGGCTTGATTTAGCTTTAAGAGATGTGAACCATGTCTTGAGTATTGAACCCAACAATTTGACTGCTTTAGAGATTGCAGACAAGGTTAAAAAGGAAATAGAAGAAATACTTAAAGTTGAAAATAAGAAGTTAGTCTTACCCCTTCCAGTATCTGCCAATGTTGTGAAGGATAACATGAAAAAGGAGAAGAAGAACAATAAATTTGATAGAAAGAGGATAGTTGAAATCAAGGAAACTAAGATTGATGGAGTCGAAGAAAAGAAGGCCGAGGACAAGGTGGTAGTGGAGGAGAAGAGAACTGTCCAGGGAGAAAAAACGATGATAAGAACAGTGAAGTTGGTTCTTGGAGAGGATATAAGATGGGCACAGTTACCAGTTGGTTGCAGTTTTCGACTTGTGAGAGATATAGTTCTAGATCGATTTCCAAATTTGAAGGGTGCACTTATCAAGTACAAGGATCAAGAAGGTGATTTGGTAACTATTACAACTACTGATGAGCTCAGGTTGGCTGAATCATCTGTTGGTCTTCAAGGTTCTTTAAGACTCTACATCAAAGAAGTTAGTCCAGATAAAGAACCTATGTATTTGAGGGTTGAAGAAGATGAGAAATCGAGCATCTGCAGATCAAATATAGTAAAAAAGGATGGGGAACTGAATAAAGGGCCAATCTGCCCTGAGAACTGGTTTGTCCAATTCGCAAGGCTATTCAAGAACCATGTTGGAGTTGATTGTGACTCGTATCTGGATCTTCACGAGACAGGAATGAAATTATATTCAGAAGCTATGGAGGACACTGTTACAAATGAAGAAGCAGAAGAGCTTTTTGACATTGCTTCAGCTCAGTTCCAAGAGATGGCAGCTTTGTCTTTGTTTAACTGGGGAAATGTACACATGTCTAGAGCAAGAAAAGAAGTATTTTTCACAGAAGAGGGTTCTGGAGAGACGGTGTCGGAACAGGTTAAATCTGCATATGAATGGGCAGAAAAAGAATATGAAACTGCAGAAATGAGGTATGAAGAAGCTCTTAGAGTCAAGCCTGATTTCTATGAAAGCCTTCTTGCACTAGGTCAGCAGCAGTTTGAACAAGCAAAACTCTCATGGTACTATTTGATTGGGAGTAAAGTTGAATTAGAGACAGGGACATGTGCAGAGATCTTGGAGCTATATAATAAGGCTGAGGATAGCATCGATAGAGGGATGGAAATGTGGGAAGAGATGGAAGAACAACATCTAAATGGACTCTCAAAATATGAGGAATATAAATCTCAATTGTACAAAAGGGGATTGGAGGGTATACTTAAAGATAAATCATCTGAAGAAACTAAAGAGCAGACTGAAAACATGAGGTCTCAGATTTACCTGTTATGGGGAACCATGCTCTACGAGCGTTCCGTGGTGGAATTTAAGATAGGATTACCAACCTGGGAAGAATGTCTAGATGTTGCAGTAGAAAAGTTTGAACTAGCTGGAGCATCACATTCTGATATTGCAGTCATGATAAAGAACCACTGTTCCAATGAAACTGCTCTCGAAGGTAAAATATGAGTGAGACATTTATTAGCTGGTCTTTTTATGTTTCTCTTGAGTGATTTTCTTTAACATATTGTACCTGTTCAATTCCAGGGTTCAAAGTTGATGAGATTGTTCAGGCATGGAGTGAGATGTATGATACAAACAGGTGGCAGACTGGGGTGCCAACTTTCAGGCTAGAACCATTGTTCCGCCGTCGGGTTTCAAGCCTTCATTCTATACTGGAAAATATTTGAATTGCAAAGCTATGATACCTTAAAACAAAGACTATTGGTATCGACTCAACAACTTTATGCAGTGATATACTTCCCAAGTCAATATGTAAGTAACTGCTTCCCAGAGTAGTGTGTCCTTTACATACTAATGCTATTGTGACTAAATGGTGGTGAGAATAACTCGAAGCATGTTACCCTCGATGTCTGATGCTTTTCCTGTCTGTTCTTCCCACTCTTGAGTTATTACAAGAAAATAAAACCATAAAAGAGTAACTTGAATGGCAAAAAAGGAAAAGGAAGATAATTTTAGAGATGCATGTTTCTGAATAAGATTTCATGTGATATTTTCTTGATTGACAATGTTATCATCTCAAAACAAAGATTTTTATTTATGTGAACTCTTGTGATTGTTATGGTCTGTCTTGGGATTTTGCCGTATCTTCACATCAGTTACAAGTCAGAATGTCATGTTAGCTTCGGTTGAAACAGGACATAATATAGGAGATAAATTAGAAGCAGTAGAAGTTAAATAGGATTGGCCAAGCTTCTGTGAAGCCAGAAGTGCTTATTTTTAGAGCGTTGAGGTGTTCAGCTAAGCTTTTTAGGAAAAAATGTGTTGTTGAATCTTGAGTAGCAGCAAAGGTGTTTTTCAAAAGCTGAAAAAAGAAGCTTTTCCTTGAAGCACTTTGAGAACCTTAGCCAAGCACAAATTGGTTCTCTAACATTGGCAAAAGTGCTCTTCAAATAAATTTGTCAAACACAAACTGCTCCTCTTTAAAAGTCCTTTTTCTGAAAGCACTTCTGTCAAAAAACAGTTTTCAAAATGAACAGATTCTTAAAGCTTGGCTAAACAGGCTATAAATGTGAAGAATAGAGTCCTAACTGCAGAAAATCTGACAGTGAAACAACTCATATGAAAGTCTCCTATAAAAGTACTGTTCAGCAGTAACTGGAAACTCAGTTAAAAGATACTGATTTTAATCAACTGTAGCATTATTGAACCAAATATTCAGTTATAGCTACCAATAAGAAGTTCCTTTGGTTGTCATTCACAAATATCCTTGTGGAAGGGGCTTTTTCCTTTGAACAGCATCTTCCCTAGAACCCTGAATAATTTTTGTTCAGAATCTTGGCTCATAAATTGCATTATTTTTATTTTTATTTTATTTTTTTTTTACGACAAGGGAAACCCGCAGCCGCTACCCTTTTGGGTGCGCACAGGGTAAAACCCCGCTCCTATGCAATAGCTCGCAAACCACATAGGAGAGGTAACCCGCACTAAGCAAGCCTAGTGCGACGAGCTCGACCCAGAAGGCAAATCCCTTGCTTTCACTGGCAAGGGGTTTCGAACTTGAGACCTCCAACATGGAAGTCCCAAGCTCAAACCACTGGACCACCCCGAAGGTTTTGTTGTTGTTATGCTAGTTACTTATGTTACAAAATAAACTACAAATCTATCTAGCGCTTGAATGTAACTCTGCAATATAGTTCATTTTGCATCTTATGAAATCCTCACCAATTTGTTAGTCTTGGCAAGTTTTTGATGACAAGGGAACTCGCAGTTGCTATCCTTTGGGTGCACACGGGGTAAACCCTGCAGACCTAACTTGTCAAAGCTAAAGTCTTACATATAGCCTGATGATCCTAGTTTTGGCTGATGAAGATGTCATAAGTTGAGGAATGTCCTGTGCGCAATTTATTTTTAATTGCAGCTGCATAAGAACCTCTCTCTATTGCTTTTGTTTTACTGGGAGAGGGATCATACAATTTTTTTCTAATAACCGTAGTGTCCAGGGCAACTTGCACGCACATCGCCTAATTCCACGGGATATTAGTCACCTACAACAGGTACCAAGTAACTCTGTCCATAAGGCTAGAATAGATGGGAAGAAATCACCTAGTGTTTTTGTCTTAGTTGGGATTTGAGCCTAAGAACTCATGGTGCTCAATCCACTTTATTGACCACTAGGCCACACCCTTGGGTGCCGAGGGATCATATATGCTTTCAATAATAACTTATCATACACATATTAGATTACTACTGTTTGTTAAATATAGAAGATGCATATCCTTCACTTGTAAGCGATTTTCTCGTGCTCTTGCAGATTCTTTCTTGTGACTTATTGTCTTCATGTTCTGTTATATTTGCCTTTGCTGATACATCGCCGAGTTCCATCTTTTCGAGAGATTTATTTGTTCTACATGTGAAGGTTTCTGTGCCATCATTGGCTTTTACAGTTTTTTGTTATTTTTTGTTAGAGACCCATGCAAATTAGTTGCATTCAATTTTCTCAAAGCTAATAAACTGTAACATTGAATTTGTAAGTCTGTTGTATATAAAAAATTGCACTTTCGGTTTTCGTTTTCATTCAATCTCACAGATATGGTATATAGCTAGTCAAGAGAAGTTTATTCTATAATTAATACTTCAAATTGTTACCGTTAGCCATCCACATCGCGAAAACGGTGATTATAAATTAACAGAGCAGAAAATGCTGTAAGCAAAAGAAAGGGATGTATGTCAACAGGGCCGAACATAGTGTATATGTAGCAGCTCCGACCTTGCATATATATATATATATATTATATATATATATATATGACAATCTATTAGAATCAGTATATTATTAAGAGAAGTGAACCTAACCACCTGCTTCAAGAGAGTCAGGTGCAGTTGCCCATTGTTCCTCCAACTAGTTAAACTCAAGGAACTTCCTGGATCTGCCCCTGCCTGCCAACCTCCAAATGGTGCTTTTGGCAGGAAAACTTCCTGGGCAAAGAAATGCAAAGTTGGTTAAATGTGGAAAATGGCTGCACAAAAAGTTAGATGAGTTTGTCCAGTACAATAAGACAGTGGAATCAGAAGCACCAAAAAAGGGGTAGATGCAGTCAAGGAGTTTGGATTTGGATTTTGTGTGTGTGTGTGTGTTTGTGAAGCTATCAATGAATTTAAAGAAAAAGAGGTCTTCAATATCAAACTGTAGCTCACCTTGCAAGATGAGAAAATGACCCCCATCTCCAAGTTCTTGAAACCAACGGCGTATGCCAAGCCTCCATTGCCATTTTAAAGAATTGAAACCATATTCTCTGTGTTATTTGAAGAATATGATTTCTTCAACAAAGGATACCATATACACAAAATCTATGAGGACAAAATACTAAGATTAAATTCAAGCGAGCTCGTTTGATTGGTCAAACAATTGTTCTCTTCTAAGGGAAATAAAGTTCTTCCAATTAAACGATAAGACCGCAGCAGCATCCTCTTTTAATTCAAAAGCCATCATTCTCTTGTGGCGAACTTTTTCCTTTTTACACTTGTAACAGGCGATAATGTTGCAAGAAATTAACAAAATACTCCAGAATCCAAAATAAAAACTAGTGTACAGAACAAATTAATAATGAAACAAGGCTGTTACATAGAGGTTGACTGTATCCGAAACTTTTGAATTAGCATTCTTCTTGAACTCCACCTATAACAAGGTTTGAGAAATTCAAATTATAAGCCTCTTCAAAGGAAAAAAACACTCTCATACAGTGTAGTTGCTTCACTGATGCTGCTCCGGAGCCGCATATCAAGGAAAATTTTGGTGTTGTGACAGAACCTCAGGCACTAGTAAAAAATAATATATTCCTTCAACAATCAGTGTTCTAAAGCACTCCGAATAGAAAGTGTTGGATCTTGCACAACGCCTCTACATATCAGGTCATGGTTTAAGAATAAAATAATTACAGTTATATCATCGTGAAAATGACGTCGGACCTTTTTGTCAATGTTTCGAAGATCAGAATATCGCATCTCTCTTTTTTTGGCAGCTACATGGAGAGCAGCCTTGACAAGCCTCTTTGCACTTCCCTGTATTTGCAAGAAAAATATGAGCATGAAAAAGTGAGCAGATTTATTTTCACGTTCAAGAGTGCATACCAAAATACATCAGAAGGGACAACGAGCTAAAACCATCTCTTTAAAAGAGTCAAAATGTCCGGCATGTGTTTATACACTTCAACAAAGAGAAAGATATATATATATATATATATAGAGAGAGAGAGAGAGAGGATCTCGAAGGGAAGCCTTAATTAATAAATTGAACCATGAAGAGTAAAAGGATAAGAGTTATGTCATTTGGCATGGTACTGAGTTTACAGGGTTGTTAGTATGGAGAGTAAAGATGATATAACTGTGAGTAAATCAAATGGAATTTCAAGGCAGGGCCACAGCTTGAGTGGCTTCAATCACTGGTGTGCTCCCAAGATCAAAGTAACATTTGATTATCATTCATATGTTACAGAGCTCTTTTGGAAAATACATGATATCTTTGGTACACTTCTGTTACTTTTTCTTTCACCATTCACCATAAAAATAAAATATACACCGTAGGAACAAATGATCCCATTTCAAACTAGATTTGGAAGGTCTGAGCATTTCATTTAAAAGACATCACAAAGAGGCATCACACCTACTCGCAGAAATTGAAAGAGATCACAAGGAGAATAGAACTTGGAAGGTGAAAGCATCTTCTCACCTGAAAACCTGATTATTTGGTGCTAAAGAGATCGACTTTTCAATAAAATTATGAAGGAATAATTAAGGAGAAAATTCAGGGTATAAATAATGGAAAGACATTAGAGAAGTCATCTACAAGTTGCTGAAATCTAATGGGGAATGCCAGAGAGCTTGAAAACCTAAAAGAGAAGTAACGTCTGAAGATATCATTCAGAAATCATGAGGGTGATCGTAGGATGTGTACTTATGCTGGTATAGACAAGCACTTATGGAGTGTATGAGGAAGTTGACTCTTGGATGGTCCAATTTAGTACACTGGATGTATATCACTGTGTGATTGCCGATTTGGTTAGCATATATATCTATCTCTTTTGTTTTCTGTGTGGTTTGCCTTTAGTGTAAGAAGAATACAGTATTCCTCTTAATAGATGGTTAAGTTACAGTAGTTTGATGCGCTTTGATTTTATAGACTTCTACATACTTGGTAGTTACTGAAAATTATCCTTGAATTATCAAAATAAAAATAAAAATTATGTATATCATCAAAAGCAAACATGTATTTGAAGTCATAGTTTGCCCATAAGAAGCATATTAGCTTAAATTGAACAGAATAAGAAGGAAAGTATAATGGTTTGGTGCATAGAACTTACTTTACGAGGGTGACTCTTCACAATTTCAACGGCCTTTTCATTGCTCAAGTGCTCCCATAGACCATCAGAAGCAAATATGAGGAAGGAGTCATTTGGATGTAGAGGATGTTTTAAAATTGTTGGAGTGGCCAACAGGATAGGCATATTAAGGGGTTGAGGAACTCTGAATTTTCCATTTGTTGGTTCCCTGCAAAATCTTGTGTGTTTAAGATAAACATCACCAATGGATCTTGAGACCTGCAGTCAATTTAGGAGACTGTTTACTAAGAAATAAGTTGCAGACTAGAGAATGAATTCTAATTTTTATCCATGTAAAGCAACAATTGTAGAACTCCAATTCGAAAGTATGACATACAGGTACAAACTGATCAACCATAGACTAGTGACACTTTCAGCCAAAAAACAGAATTCTTTATCCTAACGATAAAGACATAAAATATTAAAATCGATGAGAAACAGTAGATATTCGAGACGCGTATCAATTTTTCTTTAAAACATGATGTCATCTTGAAAGTTTTTAAACCTGCTTTTCTACCCAAATTCAGTTTACTCGGGTTCATTATTACACCATATGACCATACATAACATGGTAATTCCCCAGAAAAAAGAAGACCGACAGAAGCTCAATTATTTACTGTAAGTGGCCATAGAAATAAAATTATTCACATAAGACTACTCTTTTAGATCGTGATACACATCAAAGCACCTACGCATATCCTTTACAAGCATAGGAATATGGGAAATGCAGGGAGAATTTGGAAGTTTTTTTCATAATTTAATAACATGAAACTTTTCGTATAGTTGACCTTACCTGAATTATTCCTTTTACCCTCCAAACACCATGTCTAAGAACAACAATTTGAGGATCATTTGGATGCAAGTCTTTTTGCTCCCACCTAACAGACTCAATATTGGCATTATGCTCCGTTGATAGCTGCATGGCAGCAATTTCTCCAGTGTTTCCAACCTTCTTTCCAAGGACTACACGAGAGTCACCAAGATTTGCTACAAAGAGTGTCTGCTGATATATAGCTCCAACCAGGCAGCATGCCCCCACTGTTGCTAGTTGTGGTCGAGAATGCCAATTTTCCGAAACAACAGAAGTAAACCCTCTCTCTGTCTCAAGAAAGGCCCTTTGAATTGTCTCCTCTGTGACTACACCATTTCCTTCAGCTGATATTGCTGCATTAAGGGTAAAATCCATGAAACCACTACAAAAGTTTTCCTTTCCTAATGTTCAACACCTAAATTCAAATTTGTAACCCTCAGGGCTTTGGTCTAGTACTAAGAATGCAGTGCATGATGTGTGCCATTGACCCTCGCGGATTTCTATTATCAAGAAAATATATCCAACATATTTCAGTATTTCAAAAATTTTGAGGAAAAAGGAAACAATCAATGGAAGATGTAAGCCCCTGGTTTTAGGACTTTGGGAGTTATAGATGGTAATGGAGCAGAAGGCCCAAATGAAGACCAACCCACTACATGAACACATTAACAAAGTAGATATCAGGAATTTCTATATAATAATTTAGGAACCCTTTACGGTATAAGCTAGTTATGCAATTGAACCCCTCGACTAGAATGCCTCTAAAATATCCACACACCCTATTCATCAAGAAACCTGCAGAGAAGGTACCTAGAGTTAGGATTTTTGTAACAGGGATTTTCAAGAGTTGATCTTTTTCAGTTGTACAATGCAACTGCTACCAGACATCACGGAGAATTTCCATATCCTTATGATTATTCCCAGAAACAAAATTTAGTAAGGTTCTAGAATGAAATAGGCTCGAATTAAGCGGAATACAAAAGATTCATATAACTGAGCAGGTGCCTTTAGTTAAGTCCTTTTTGACTCATAGGTTCATTTAAAAGGTCAGTTGTTCAAGTCAATAAACATGAAGGCCCCTCCTCACTAAAGCTTAAATGATCACTTTTCTAGTTAGAAACCAACGTCTTGGGACTAATGTGGAATCCACTCAAGGACCCCCTCCCCGCCCTGTGACTTCAACTGATTAGACTTGAGCCTAGTTTTGCCTCATTCTTGAATCAACCTTCCCCACTTAAGTCAACATATCCTAATACTCATTAGACTTGGGCTACTCTTGACTCAAGCTTCCCCACTTAAATCGACATATCCTAATACTAATTAAGACTTGGGGCTACTCTTGCTTCATTCTTGATTCAACATTCCCCACTTAAATCGACTATCCTTATTTCGATATGAGCCGCAGTAGATTGACTAAAGATTGTCTATGTAGCAAATTTAACATCTTTTTTTTCTCCAATAAAACAGATAAAAAAAATTACAAACAGAAAGAAGATAAACCTTGGAAATGTCGAAATAAGTGATCACAAACATAACGAGCAGTTTCAGGTCCACCATGACCATCATAGACTCCAACAAAAGTTCCAAATGGACCAGACTCAATCTGGCTCTGATCCTCTAAGACCTGATTAGCTTGCACAATAGCCATGGAATATTCCCCACTCCCACAATTCCCAATATCATGAAACCACAACAACCCATCTTTCCCAAATCCACCATTGGAACTTTCACCACCCCTAATTTCACTTCTTCCAGCTCCACCACTACATTCACTGTAACTCAAACATCTTGGAAGGAAATTCATCAAATCAAAATTCAAGAATCCCACATGGAGCTAACCCCAATTCAAAAAAAAACAAGTACCCAACTTTCAAAATTGAAAATTTACAAGTTGAATCAAACTTTCTTGAAGCAATACTAAGAGTTAGATACAGATATGTATATGTAGAGGATTGTAGTTTGGGGGTAAGGGGGGCAGAGGGAAGTGGGAGGTGTTGGTTGGAGGAGGAACACGAAATAGAATGTGCCTCATTCTTAATTTTGTCGGCTGCTATTAACAATCTCTCTATTGCTTTCTTATACTCCACCATCACAAAATACTTTTCTTATATTCCATCTCCAACTTCCTATTCGTTTAACAGTGAAGATTTCAAATAGGAAAAAGAGATATACCCTTCAATTTTATCGAGATAATATATTATTCGTTATAAAAGTAATTTATATATGCGCTTACCATTATATAAACGGCTTACATATACTCCTATCGTTACAAAATATCTCACATATATCCTTCATTTTAACGAAAGTTAAAAAAATAATTTTTAAATTTATATTTATTACTTCTAATTTTCTAAAAAAAATTATTTAGGGATATATATGATTCTTTTATCAAAGTTCAAGTTATATTTTAATTTTTTCATACATAAATTATTTTTTGACTTCTTTTATTATAATTATTTGAGTTTCTTATTCTTATTTTGATTTTTTTTCTTTCATTCCTTAATTTAAAGAAAAAAATTAAACGATTTTTTTATGTGTATTGTAATTTAATTTCGTATTCGAAGAAAAAATTTGGTCATCTACAATAAGTTTTACAAGAATATTAGTGAAACATAAAAAAATTTGATTATCAAAATAATAATTATAAATTAGTCATTGAAACAAAAAAGTCAAAAAAAAATATGTTTGACGAGTATTAAATTTACTCATATGGGATTATATTTTTTTTAAAAATAATAATAAAAATTTAGATTAATTTTTTTTCATTTCCGTTAGAGGAAAAAGATATATATGAGTCATTAATTTACAAGTATGGATATATATGAGTCACTTTCATAATAATGAGTATATCATCTCTAAACATACTTTTTTTCCTTTCAAATATACATAATTTACTTATAAATATGATGACAAATTAATAAAGAATGCACGTAAATCGATAGATTGAGTTTCTCAAAAGTAACACTAACACATCATATAATAACATACCGTTTGAGAGTGCTGCAAATAAAAACATGATTTTTAAATCCTAAGTAACTTTATATATGACATGATATTAAAAAATTACTTGTTAAATCAATACCCATTACTAATAAATCTAGGCAAAAGGCTCAAATATGTCATTAAACTTTTAGAAAAGGTTTATCTATTCCTCAGTTAAAAGTTTGACTTATTTATGTCATTATCGTTAAAGTTTAACTCATTCATGTTATTATTTTTTAACAATAGTTTTGCAAAACCATTTTTACACGTGGTCAATTATAATTCGGTTACGCCATCAATTTTTTAAATAAAAAATAAAAAAAATTAATTCAATTTTTATTCAGAATTTTAATTTTTTTTATTAAAAAAAGTGATGATGTGGGCAATTATAATTCGGCCACGTCATCAATTAAAAGAATTTTAAAAAAATAATTCAAATTTTTTCTTAGAATTATGATTTTTTTATTTAAAAAATTGATGACGCGGCCGAATTACAATTGGTCACGTGTCAAACATGGATTTGCAAAACCATTGTTAAAAAATAATGGCATAAATGAGCCTTTTCTTGGACGGTAATGGCAGAGATGAGCCTAACTTTAAACTGATGACATAAATGAACTTTTTCTGAAAGTTCGATGGCGTATTTGAGCTTTTACCCATAAATCAATAAGTTTCTTTTGAGAAAAAAGACAAATATACCCTCGAACTATCGTAAATGGTATGCGAATACCATCCATCACACTTTAGGAGACATTGGTGCCCCTATCGTCTAAAAATCAGAACATATATACCCTTTATACTAACGAAAGTATATGTGTCACAATCTTATTCAACGACCCAACATCATATCGATTGATAGGATCGTGTCACGTGTCCCCATTTAATCGTCCGTTAGAGTGAAGGACATATACTCTTTAGTTTTTGAATGACAGACACACCAATATCTCAAAAATATGATAAAGAATATTTGCATATCATTTATGATAATACAAAAATATATTTATCCTTTTTTCCTTTTCTTAGCATCTGTTCTCTTCATTATCCTTCTTTCCTTCTTTTTCCCCTCTCAATATCTCTCTATCCTAGTCAATTAGCTAATCATTTAAGTGTTAACAAACTTTAAGGTTCAAGTTTGAACATTTGGTTACGACTTATGATTATAATTTTCACAGATATTTGGTACAGTAACTTTATCTTTCTTTTTTTATAAAAAACAATTATATTTGAATAATTAGATTTCAATTAATATTGTATTTAATTTTATTATATATTTATACTGTAGTTCCTAAAAAGATAATAGACATACTCCTCTCTCATTTTTTGGACAAAGTAATTAAATTGCTAGTTCTTGTAAGCCTCAAGTACCTAAAACTAGAAAACATTAAAAAAAATTATGCATATTGATTGATTATTTTTTTTGTTTTTTTTACTAAAATCTGATTTTGATATTAATACAAGGGGCCACTATATAATAAATAATTTTTTAAAAAAAATAATTTGGCGATTATGACAATACGAATGAGATAGAAAAATATGAATTAAATGAACATCCACTAAATCAATAATCGAAACTCCAACTCCAACTCGATTTGGAGCTTGAACTCCTCATTTACAAGTAGGACATGAGGTAGACATTTGAAAAACAATCACACTGATAAATGGAGTACAAGATATTGGTTGTGCTATTAACATTCCTAGTGATTCTTTTAGGGTTTCAAATATATTCAACAACAATTAAATCGAATTCGGAGTCTAAAGGGCAAAAAATATTGACAAAAATTTTAAAAGGGTATATCAAAAAACTTTCTAACCAAGACGCTCCTAGAGCAACGATTTTTCTTAACGCCGGCTAAATAAATCACTATATCAGTAGCGATTTTACCGTTTCGGTGAGAAAAATTTTAGATATACCTTTTAAAATTTTTATCAATTATTTTTGCCCTTTAGGCTCCGGAGTCCACTTAAACCTTTCCCCCGGCCTAGTAATTATCCGAATTTGTGTTATCACGATTTTCATAATTTACATTCATCAAATATGATCTTACTATCCTTATTACTTACTCAACCACAATTTTTATTTTTTTTTGAATAGGTCAATTCACTGTGACCTCTGTTCACGACATATCTCGCTTATCTAGAAGGCAAATGAATAGGTTAAGCTGTCCAAATACTATGCGATATTCTTAGATTTTAGCTGAAGGTTTTTGTCTTAACTGTTTAGAGGCCAAAAAAGAAAACGTTAGAAAAAACATTTGGGTCAGATTGTCAATCAGAAGAATCAGTTAAACAATGTAGAACAAAACATAATTGATGAACTCCACCATCACTTGGTCTCTACAATTCAAAACAAAAACAGAAATTATGTCGACCATGATGTTTTTTGTTTGATCACTAGTGTCAATATCAGACACTATTGATATTTCCGTAGGCACTTTTCTTGATTTTTTGTGTAGATTGGATGTTACAACTAATTTTGGCCTTGTAATCTATGAGACATTTATCTAGGCATACTTGGTCATTGCAGACAATGTTGTACTAAATGGGGTTCTCGTAGAGACACCTAACGTCACCTGACACTACTTCGTGAAAAATAATTACTTTATCGGAAACTAGAAATTGCATGAATTAGAATTTTTTTTGTAATGTTAGATTCTATATAGATAGAGTAGTAACTAGTATGAGATAAATGTATGAACTAAATAAATTATTTAGAAAGAGAGAGGGAATAAAATCGTAAAATTATTATAAATGTTAAATTTATTTAGACTATTTAGAAGTAAATTGTGATAATAAATCGATATTGCTTCAGTCACTACACTCACATCACCCTTTCAAATCACCTTCCAACCATTTGAGACATCTTCATGTTACTCTTCCTTTCTTTTTAAGTTTTTTTTTTTCCACTCGGTGTTTGGAGTCTACACTAGAAGTCCAACTAAATTTGGATAGCGCACTGTAGGGCTTATTCGGGAGTTACACTTCCAACAGAATTTTCTCCATATCTATGGCGCAAGCTCGAGACCTCTGATTAAAGGTAAAACACTTTCACCACCAGTGCACCACAACCCATGTTGGTTCCTTTCTCAAAGTCTTCATTGATTAGATGGGAGTGGAGGAAATATTTTACAGTCCAAAATTATTTAAAATCTATATATAGAATATTTGTTTTCCGGCAAAAACTTTTTCATATTCTATAACCAAAACACAATTTTTTGTCCATTTTTAATTGTTATGATCTCTTTTTTAGAATAAAAAATTGCAATTTATAGTATTTTTTCATATTTAATTTTTTTACTTAAAATATAGAAAATGTAATTTAATTATAACTCTGAAAATTACTCAAATTGACTTTGAAAAGTGAAAAGTTTCGTTGACATAAATATTCAAAACTTAGTGGTTGTTGATCTGATACTGAAAGAAAAAAATAGATGAGAAAATGAACTGTGAAGAAGATGAAACTACCTATTGACATATCTGAAATTGGTTTACTAGATAGAGAAACTTTTTAAAATTTAAAATTAGGATGAAGTGATAAATGTAATTGAGAAATTAATGAAATCAGGCAGTGATAAACATGGGTTTGGGGAGCGGAAATTATGTATAGAGAAATTTTGTGTTGGACTCAAAATAAGGGATTTTGAATTTTTTTAAAGATGATAGAAAAAATAATAGGATTTATGAAAAAATAAATAATGTACCTTCTCAACTTATGTTCGAAATCTGAGAGACACATTTATATTATATTAAGGTCCTATTATCCCTGAACTTATTTTATTAATAATTTTCTGCCCCCTTTCGGCCTACATGACACTATCTTGTGGGCCCAATGTTGATTGACTTTTTTTTCTCAAATTAGTGTCACGTAAGCCGAAAAAGGTTAGAAAATTACTTATAAAATAAGTTTAGGAATAATAAGACTTTAGTATAATATAAGTGTGTCTCTGAAATTTCGGACATAAGCTGGAGGGGTACTTGTGCATTTTCTAAAAAACAAAGTTATATATATGTAAGTTTTCCATTGGTCCCCTCTTGAAAAATATTAGCATTAAATTTCATTTTAATGAAGTATGTGGTAAAAAAGCAAAGTCAATAGATGTGGTCTTCCAACTTATACTTATACCCTTTTAACTTGATTAATTACTTTTACCTATACTCAGAAGGGAAACTTACGTAAATATGTTATACAAAAAAATTATTTACCATTTATTATATCAATAACATTTTTTTTCACTTGATCACTTTTAATTCATTTATAATACAAGTTTAATACATATTATAAAGAACAATTTATTATTCACATATAGTACAAGTTTTAATGATGGATAGATAATATATTTATCACATTTTAATACACATATGACTATTTTTTAACAAACAAACACAATATATTTAAAAAAAACAATTATAATTTAAATATATTGCATAAATATTTCACTTTTAATACATATTACAGATTTATTACAGTATTGCTATAATGGTAATAAATAAAAGGTATCGCTAAAATCAATAATTATTTTTTAAAACGTATTAATTCATGTAATTTTTTTTACTCAAAAATTGAATTTGTCACGAGTAAATTAATTGTTTTAATTTTGTCATGAGTTGAGGTAATTCCAGTACAGGTGGACTAAACAGTATTCGTTACAACAAAGATAAATATATTATTTTCTTTTTTTTCCCTTTGAGAGAATTAAATGAAAATAAAAAGTATTAACATAAAACAAACAACTTATTTAATAAACACACACAACTTATTATTGATACTAGTTAATAACAAGGACGAGTTAAGATCGTCGACATATACATAAAAGAAGGGCTCGATTAGGGTCTTTCTCTTTTAATGCGTAGTAATACGCATTACGATATCTAACCTGGTTCACTGAACCCACTAAAAGTTAAGCAGAACACTTATTTCTTAGACTACCTATATGTTATTTACGTCACAAGTCTAGAAAACCTTATTTTAACTAGAATAATACCAGTACATGAGGATTAATAATTTAGCATATTAATTAATCCCCTTTACTTGAATATTTACTTAATTTTAAGCATATGGAGACTCTCTTTAACCCAAGAAGGTCGAATGTTACCCTTAGCACAGTTGATATGTGCAATATGGCCAGTATCTTTGCTATAATACATCCAACCTTCCTTCGACACCTTCTTGTTACAAACGTTGCATCGCGCAATAATATTGTCACTAAAAGGAAAGGTGTGACAAAGTCGGAGTTTACCATTTGATTTATTGGGTCCCTTCACCAGCACCAGCACGACTAGGTTGAGTGCTATTGATCATCAGCATTCTTAGAAGAGATGTAATATCATTTTTGGAACAACGTTGATGATTCTATAATGGAGCATGGATTACTGCGACTCTTTCTTTGAAATGATGCAGCATGATTGACATTGTAATTATCTTCGTCATCGTTGTTAATAGACATGGTGGTCCGACGATATCGCTGGCTGTCCAGACTATTATTCACATGATGAGTAGACAACAACTTGTAGTTTGATGGTATCATTTTTTTTTCTTTTCTTGTGTTTGTGTTTCTTTAATTTGAAGTTGTATTGCTTAATTGGTCTATATATGTTATTAATTACAGTATTTATAGAGGTAGTTTGAGTTATTGGAAAATACTTAAAATGGAAGCAAAGAATCAAGTTCGCGACTTTTATATTTTGACAATGCAAATAACTTCTATAAATTACTAAGAGAAGATTTAGATTAATTTTGTTATTACCAGGGGCGTTCACAAGTTTGGTTTTGGATCGGTTATTATTCAAAATCAAAACTAAATCAGCTTATTCGATTTTAAAATTATCAAAACTAAATCAAACCAAATATAAGTATATACATTTATGATTTGGTTGTTATCGGTTTCAGTTCAGTTGATAGAAGAAAAAAATAAATTCAAAACATGAAAAAAAAATAACAACAATCCATTCAAAACGAAAAATAGTTAGAATGACTGTCATTACAAAACTTTTGATCATTTAATTTACTACGCCTTCAAAATTCACTGTTTGACCAAGAAGGAAGAGATAATACATTTTTAATCCCACAAACATAGACACTCATATAATAAAATCAACAAGACAAATATTTTAAACTTGGACCTTTTTGCTTTAATAACTAAATTATGAATAAATTTTGATGAATACATATATAAAATTTTAAAAATTGTTTGTGAAAAATAATATATATGTATATATAATAATAAAATATATGTATATAATTTACCGATTTGGTTTGGTTATTTCGTTGGGTTTTTTTCGAAGAAAATTAAATCAAACTAAATACTATCGATTTCTAATCTAAAATCAAATCAAATCAAATCCAACTAAAATCAATTTATTTTATCGATTTAATTTGATTTTTTAATTTGAATAAATTTTTATCCAAACCATGAACATCCTTATTACTATTGATAACTACATTATTATAATAAAGTAATTATTATTATTATTATTATTATTATTATTATTATTATTAAAATGAGTAGATATATAGTAGTGCGTTAACATAAGTCTAGTTGATGCAAATTATGAGGTAATAATGCAAACGTCAGTAACATGAAGTAATTAAGATTCATCATTTGGAATAAGATTCACTTTTATCTTCTAAGGAACCTTTTTCTGTTTATATCGATAATAATATTCTTCGTCAGATTTATTCTTATCACTGAATATATATAAATGCTTATCGATCAATTTTATTCTTATACTGAGCTTCAACATTTTCTCTTCCAGAATATGCTGTGGAAACACAGAGGGAAAAAAATCTTGAAGCTCAGTATTTCATATTAGTTTCAAGATTTAAATTTTATGAATTTAGTAAGAGACAAATTTAAGATTTAACTTGTGGATCCTAATGTATATATTTTCATTGTTTTTTTTATTATTATTATTATATTTTCATTGTTGATTTCCTCACTCTTATGATATTATGAATTTAAAATTATACTCGAAGCAAAAATAAACTCAGAACCTCTTGATTAAGCACGAGAGATCCTATCTATTCCACCATCATTGATGATATATGTAATATGATGTACTTCACATACAAATTTGATGTGTTATCAAATGTTTCTTCATGCAATGCTTAGTTATGTAGACGTCGAGGGGTTGTTTGGTAATTGGGTAGAGTCAGGTAGATATTAGTTAGTTGATACATAAATTTGTTACGAGAGAATCTACGTACCTTTAGTTATTTTATCTTCTATCCTGCATAAAATAATGTGTTTTAAATTTTAGACTACATCATTACAAAATGCTATCAAACATGATATTACTAATGCACGATTTATATTTAACGAACTACCATACAACCCCAACAGTTTGTTTAGAACAGAAGTAGAATACTAGAAAGAGTATTAATTATCTTGCAACTTACTTCCAAACTCTGTTGTGAATTTCCTTTTTCCTTAGAGCTATTAACTGATGGTTCCAATAAACTTGTATTAACACAAGCGTATACAGTGATCAAGAATGGCAACACTAATTCGAATACAGGCAAATTCAGTATTAAATCATTCTTAGGACAACCATCGATGCATAAAACATTAAAACTGATACTAGAGGCCTAGAACTTTAACCAAAACGAGACGAGAGATTTTTGCAAGTGATAAATGAACTAATGATGGTACTCATTGACTTTAAAAGAGAAAACCTTGATAAGGATCGTTGGAACTGAGTTTACGAAGAATCCAGCTTTTTCGTAGAATGGCCAAAAAATCCTATCTCTAGTTGGTACTTTGAGCCCCAGGTAACAAGCTTGAAAGAGTGCCTTGGTTTCTCAAGATCTCCTCTTGTGTTCGTCTCATTTCTTCAGGATCTGCCACACATGAAAATCAGCACAGTAGCGCGAGTTATTTTATGTATAATGTCCTGTTTCATCACAATTAATCTAAAGGTAAATTAACTTGCAGAAATGTAAGCAAGAGAGTGCACTCAATCAACGTCAAGTTCCAAAATCTGAATGATCTTGAGATGGCATGGAGTCATTAATGATGCAATTCAAGGGCTCTGGCTTAACAATTTTTCTCGTAATTTTGTAGATAAAATATCAGACGTATTATTCTATTAGATCATATACATAAACACTGACACATATAGGACTTGAAACACATGTCCGCAGATACAATTGAGACGTTATGATAGACAATAAGGCAACCACAAGAATCCATAGATACAGTTGAGAATATTGTTCTTGTATGTGTAGGGGCATCTGTATTTATTTGTGTATGTGAGGGAATGTGTAACTGCATATAACATTTAGTCATCGTAACATAGATATCCATCAATATGTATAAGAAAACAGGTTCAGAAGAAGTCAATAATCTTCAGACAGTTTAGTGTGCATAGTAATTAAGCGTTAGGAGACAGTGAAGTTCGCGTTCACTCAGATATAGGATTAACAGATGATGCTTCTTACTTTGAGAACTTTGCCACCCCTAGTGAACCACATATATATTTAGTACGCGATATTCATGGTCCAATTCGATGAATAAAATCAGAGATTGATGCATATATGTACATACGTCACATTGATACCATTGGATACTAATCCCTAGTGAATCACATATTTAGTGCAGTCATCCCAAAGCACAAAACTCTTGCATTACAGAGACGTTAAATTGGAGCAACGTTATGGAACTACCGTCCTATTGCATGTGAAAGCAACTTCATTTTGGTTAAAACACAGAGCACATGAGTACTCACCAACATTTTCTGCTAATTTTGGCATCACAAACATTACAAACAGCATAAATCCGAACATCAGGCCAATTGGACTTTTAACCAGAGACATAATGGAGAAAGGTTCCTTTAACTGCAAGAGAAATTCTCGCAGTAGTTTAGAGAAAGAAGTGGAAAATGAAATGGAAATCTAGGAGATCAAAGTCCGACCTCGTAATGCTGCTCCTCACTCAATGGCTCCAAAACCAACTCAATCAGACTCCTCCTGTTCTCGGTTAACGCTGCTTGAACCTTACTTGGATTTCTGGCACTGACATCAACTCGAACCTGACATCACGAGAGATACATTAAGCATATAAATCTTTGTCCTAGAAAATCGGTGAAGAATCAAAAATATTGTGGCAGTGAAGCTTACCGGAGAAAAGAAGTAGCCAATTGCAGACACCTCAATAAGATGTGTCCCTGCTGAAACATTATGACTATTGCTAAGGTTAAGGAATAGCATAGTCTTTGCAAAGAGGAGTAGCATTCTAGTTTTCATGTTGTCCCGCAAACGTTAGTATAATTCAGATGAACCACTCACAATGCAACTGATGCATAGTTGTTTGTTCTTGTTGTTGTTATTGTATCATACAAGAAAACAGCACACAAAAACAGTGAAAACACATTATATGAAATTTTTTTTACCGGAGTGTGGAGCAGCAGTAAATATGCATTTGAGGAAGCACAAAACTCATATCAGTATACATAACCTAAGTTAATGAAAGCTGAAGTACCAACTTGAGTCGTCGAAACAGGAAGGATACAATGAGAAATACCCATTGGGTCTCAAGAAAGTAACTCTTTGGCCAGCATTGAGTATGACTTTAACATTTGAAGCTTTAGGTAAGAAACCAGATCCTTTCAAGCTAAAGACTACAGAAAACAAACAAACAACAACGCGGCATTAGTCACAAAATAAGTTGAGTCGTCTATATGAATCTAGTCCACATCGATCATTTTCATATATATGAATAACAATTCCAAAACCTTTTCTCAACTACAAAAAACAAAGTTAATATTTCTTATAACCTGATAAATCATCACAAAAGAATATTTAAAAACATCAAAGTATAGTGAAGTGAATCTCTATAAAAAAATCAAGGAGAATTTAATTAGCTCTATAATCTAAAATTGATAGAACTTTTATAGCCTTAACAAAAAGTTGGAAAATCTAACAGACTTACAATTTTTTCATGCCAAATAATTGTTTACTTTTGACCTGTTTTTCTCTTAATTTTATGATATTTTAGTTACCATATTAGTGAAACTAGGCAAATAAATGACACATTATCCAATATATGAAGCTTATGTATACTAACTACATTTCTATACATCAATAACATACCCAAGTCCCCGCGTATTCCCACAAATAAGGTCTGGGAGATGATGTATACACATTCCGAACTAATCTTTTTCAAATTTCACAATGAAATATGATCAAACGCTAAAATATAAATAGGAAGAGAAAGATGAAAGATGTACTGGGAATTTTTACTCGACCGGTAACAGTATAACCATCAACATTCCTGCAAAAAAAAAAATGTAGAGAAAATAAAAACAGATAAATTCAATTCTCTGTAACTTTTCTCATATTCATTTTTTTTAAAAAAACAAATCAATCAATTAGGTTTTACTAATTTATTATCAACAAGCTACGAAAAAACTTCAAAACAGGGGAATTTGAAGATTGAAGATCTAGAATTTTTGGATATTTTTTTCCCATCCAATGCCAAAAAATTCAAATGGAAATTAAAATTAAATAGAAGCTACGGGAAAATAATCAAATTGTTGTTAATGAACAAGCTTAATAAATTAAAAACATAAACTAAAATTTTACAATTTTTCTGAATTGAGTACATTTTTTTACGTGCATGAAAATTTATTTACCCAGAAAGAATAGAACATAAGAAAAAGCACTGAAGAAGAAATATTGATCGCACTGCCATTAGGACTAAAATTCCAAAGAAAAAACTAAACAAGAATGGGTACAATTTTTTCAATTGAATTATACAATTATTTACATTTCTTATCGAATTATTTTATTTATTATTAAAAATCATACCCTTGAAGTTAGTAAGGTAGTTATAATAAGTTCACTTTACACCTTCGAATAGATATCCGCTATAATTTGTCTTTAATTGATATTTATGTCTTTCAAGTATAAATATATATTTAAATTTATATAAAATTAAATAAGTAAGTATCACATAGGACACAAAATTGACTTTTATAACTCAAAGTGAAACAAAAGTGTTTATTGTTCAATTTTATATAATTTAAGTGCCTAATTATGCATCCCAAATTTGAGAGCATAAATACTAATTAAAACCAAGTTAAAGTATACATTCGGAGAAAAGGTCCAAAATAATCCTTTATTTTTAGAGTCTGTTTGGCTCAGCTTAAAAGCTGGTCAAACTGACTTAAAAGCTGGTTTTTGACTTATTTAGCTGTTTGGCAATCCTCAAAATAACTTATTTTAAGTTAAAAAAAATTATTTTAAGCCAAAAGTTAAAAGCTGGGGTAGGGGTGCTTTTTTCCCCCAACTCCCCAACTTATAAGCTGTTTTAAGTTGACCACATTTTTACCTTTTTACCCTTAATATTTTAATACAATCTCCAAATTACCCATATAACCCTAACATCTGTTTCTTCTATTTTTCCCTTTTCACGTGTGGATGATAGACAATTACTATTACTAATGAATGAAAATAAAATAAATCTTAAATCTTTCAAGTGATCTATTCAAATTATATATTATTAAAATGTAAAATAAGTTGCACATATAACTTAAATAAAAATTTATATTCCTCTTATAAATAATTTGTGATAATAAAGAATTATGTGAATGATAGACTATTATTATTACCTATGAATGAAACTAAAATAAAATCTTAAATCGTTCTTTGATCTATTCAAATTATATATCTTTAAAATCTATAATAAGTTTATATTCCTCTTATAAATAATTTGTGATAAGAAAGAAATATGTGAATGATAGCAAAATATAATTATTTATGGCTGTAAAATATAAATTAATTAACTTTTATTATGTTAACAACTTTTAAGGGTATTTCAGACATTTTGATTTAAAAAACCGTTTATCAGCACTTATTTGCCAAACACATCAACAACTTTTTTTTTAACTTCAGCATTTTTATCCAAACACATAACTGCTTATTTTAAAAATAAGTTTCAGCACTTTCAAAAATACTTTTATTAAGCCCATCCAAACGGGCCCTTACTCTTTAGGTTAAGACTCAAAAGTCATTTTTGAGTTTTCACATGGAGTATTAATAGTCTCTCATGTTTGCAATATTGATGCACTTTTTGGTTTTCCTTAAAAAAAAATTTTAACATTGATTTTATTCATAATTTATGAAATGTTTAATGATCATTTTATATATTTAGTAGAAATAATAACTCCATGTGAGAGATTGTAAAAAGAAAAACACCTTATTTTGTTTAATACAAATCGTACTGCAGGTAAAGTCGAAAGGTTAATCACGACGATTTCACGTATAATGGTACAATTTTTTTTCTTGCAATGTCATATATTAAAATGTTCTTAATTTAGCTGCAATAATATTTATATTGAAAAAAACAAAGTGTTCTTTTTTGACATTCTCTTACATAAATTATGAACTAAATTAATGTTAAAAAATAAACAAAAATTTAGAAGAGGATAAAAAATACACTAACATTATAAATATAAAGAATAGACTATTAATGCTTCATGTAAAAACGTCTAAATAAATATTTAAATGTTAACTCAAAGATGAAAGACTATTTTGGGTCTTGATTATGATTAATGCCCTTGTAGTACTACTAGAACTAGTATCTTATTAGCTTTGAAATTTTATTAATTTGAATTAGTGTAAAAAAAGTTCAAATGAGAAGAAAAATATTTTTTGTATTAAAAAATAAATTTTTGTTTGATTAGTAATCTTTGGCTTTAATAATGAAATGTATTGATTGGAGAAATTGAAATGATTCGAGGTGAGTAACGCAGTATAGACAATATTCGAAGGATGTAGTTTGCAAATATTTTAATTTTCCCAAATTCTAAGCCCTTACCGATTTTGGTTCGCTCGCCGTCGTACAAAACCAGCCTTTCCACCTCCGTCGTCCGCCGTTCTCCGCCACCACCCTCACCGCTCGTTCGACGGCGCGTGACAGTTATTATTAGCCTGCTTCGGAAATTGATAACTTCTGTTCAACAGCTGAGCTAAAATTTTGATTTTGATTGAAATGTTTAGTCCTGGATAAGAAAATTTTAATTTTGTCCGGTAGAGGTATAATCTTTCCTTCTTTCTTTTTTCCTGCTAATTGTATGTAGTACTCTATTTCCTTGAAATTTTTAGCTAAATTTTGATTATATTTTTTTTGTTGCGTTTAAACACTTCGTTATCAATTGCTGAAATTTCAACTGTTCATAAAAATGGAGGTTTTCTGAAGTTAGGGTGACTTTACCTTTCCAGTTGATGATGATTCATTTTTGTTTTTATTCGATTGATCTGTGTAGAATATCACCTGATCTCATACTACTTTTGTTATTATTAAAGGGCATAATTATATAGGATATGGTTTTTACTACTTCATCAATGACCAAACTCGATCATTGTTGAGTTATGGAAAGAAAGGTATAGAGCAAAACTTAGCTGCAGTAACGCAGGTTTCAAGAAGAAAAGTGGAGCAAATCACCCTAGGCCAGAAACAAGAACTGGTTGTCCTGCAATGCCTACTAATTAAGCTTGAGGACTCAAAAAGATGGAGAATTGTTGAAGCTGTGCTTCAGCATAATCATACAGTAAGCGCAGAGATCAGACGGTTCTATAAGTCTCACAAAAAGATGATTCTTGCTTCTAAAAAACAGCAGGAATTGACACCTGTTACAGAAGTACATACAATTAAGTTATACCACACATCTATTGATGCTGCTTATAATGGATCCAAGAAGTCGAGGAAACAGATAGTGGGCTTCCTGTTGATACCTCAAAGCATTTAGAGCTCAAAGAGGGAGATGCACATGCCCTGTATAATTATTTTTGTCGTATGAAGTTGACAAATCCAAACTTCTTTTACCTGATGGATCTTGATGATGAAGGATGCCTGAGAAATGTGTTCTGGGCTGATGCTAGGTCAAGGGCTGCTTTCAACTCCTTTTCTGATGCAGTTGCAATGGATACAACAAGCTTGAGAAACAAATATGGAATTCCTCTAATTTCTTTTGTCGGATTAAACAATCATGGGCAACCTGTTTTGCTGGGATGTGGTTTTCTTGGACATGATTCAGCAGAGTACTTTATTTGGATGTTTAAATCATGGCAAACATGTATGCTTGGGAGACATCCACAAGTTATTCTAACGGATCAGTCAAAATCATTGCAAATTGCAGTTTCTAAGGTTTTCCCTCGAGCTTGTCATTGTTATTGTTTGTCATATGAGTCTATCAAGATGCAACTGTATAAAGCAGTTTATAATTCTTTGAAGATCACCGAATTTGAAACTTCTTGGGGTCAGATGATAAGTCAGCATGGACTCAAGGACAGTAAATGGCTTCAATCATTGTATGAAGATCGTGAAAAATGGGTACCAGTCTACTTAAAAAGATATTTCCTTCATGGGAATCATGCCAATAAAGGAAAACGAGAGTTTGGATAGATTTTTTGATGGTTATGTACATAAACACACTTCATTCAAAGAATTTGTTGATAAGTATGATCTAGCCCTGCAAAGGAAATACCTGAAAGAAGCAATGGCTGATATGGAGTCAAGAAGTTCAAGCTTTGAACTGAAAACAAAATGCAGATTTGAGCAGCAACTCTCGCGGATATTCACAAAGGAAATATTCAAGCAGTATCAAAAAGAAGTTAGAGGAAATGCATTCTTGCTTTTTATCACAAGACAAGTAAACATTGCTGGGCCAATAATGACGTTTATTGTCAAAGAAAGAGTAGAATCCGAAGGAGATCAGGCAGTTTGAGGTTCTCTATGAGACTACACAAGTAGAAGTACGTTGTATTTGCAGTTTGTTTAACTTTAAAGGAATACTTATGCAGACATGCATTGAATGTACTGAATTATAATGGTGTAGAAGATATTCCATCACAACACATCCTACCGCGTTGAATAATCCTGTGGAATTATACAATCATCTACATAAACATGTCATGCAAGTTGTTGAAGAAGGGGCTCAATACATGGCGGTCCTTCAAGAATTACAAGCTTTATTGAACAGGTTTCCTTATAGATGGCAATTTGGTTTCACTGTAATGTTTGACATGGAACAATTCAATGCAGAATTATAGTGCATCTTTGTACAGAATATATATCACATATCTTGATATAAGGATGGAATTATGGTAGTTTGAAATTGCATTAGCATTTCCTCTATAACAGATAGTTGAAAAACAGAAATAAGCAACAAAACCAAATTTCAACATAAATAAGCAACAAAACCAAATTTCAACATAAGAGTGCAAATAAAAAGATAGTCAAAATATATTTCAAAACAGATATCAAACCAAGAAATCAATCATGAGTTATTTGACCCCCTTCATTTTCCTCACATGGGTCAAAATTATATATAAATACAATCTACATTATCAAACCAAGAGTTTTGGCTTGCTTATAAGCTTAAGGATATCACACGATTAATACATATCAAGGATGAAATCCATGCCAAAACACACATCCAAGCTTTACCCCAAGATTGATTTAGATGAAAAAAATTGCAAAATAATGTTTTAAGGACAAAAGATGTGATGCTGATCCAGTAATCCTCACTTCAAACAAGTTGGAAGTGTAAGTCCATGACAAGCGAAAGCCAAAATAACATATATTATCACTAGGAGGAGGAATATCAGAGCCACCCTGCAAAAATCAAACATCATTATAAAGAACGATGACAAAATTGAATAATGAAATAGGGAAGTAAAAACTTGAAGCTGGCCACTCCTTAAATGTAAACAACCATCACGAACAAAATTAACAATATCCTGAGAGAATAAGTACAGTATAAAACTATGAAATCTTCTGTAAACGTAGGGATCTGTTGTTAGAATTGCTTCAAAAAATTCATACTGTTTAGGAGCAGGCAGATAAAAGATCGTGAAACACATATTATATGGAGAAGGAATAACTAAATCAAGAAATCCATGAGGAAGCTTTATACTGATCAATCGTTTCATGGACCTCCCAAAGATGTAATTGGATTCTTCACGTTTTAAAATTTTATCCTGGAAGATACACTGTCCGTTTTATCAAACCATTTAAGGCAGGATAGAGCCCAGCTAGTTTCAGTAATGCCATATAAAAGGAATCTTCACATGTAACAGTCTAACTGTTAGAATCAGAATTTAATCTTACCCAATAAAAGAAATCTAATAATTATAATTCATCCAACTATTGAAAGAACAACCCCCTTCCCCACCAAGGAAAAATGAAACAAAGAAATAGCTTTTGTCCAAGTAATGGAAGCAACATACGTGAGTTTGACATTTCTCCACCATACAGTGCTTCTGAACCGGCGAGCCTGCTTTCTGAAGCGGAAAGTATTCTCTTGCATATTAGCTGTTTTATCGACCAGCAATTCCAAGCGATCACCTCTCTCTAGAACTTTATCGATATTCTCAACCATGACAGTGCGCACCTGTTACATGGCACATATATCCAAAAGTTCCTTAGCTAATGTCAAAATATAATGGCTGGTAAATATGATTTGCTGCAATTTCTAGTTTATAAGATTTGACAACTGAAACTGTTAATATTGTTTTTATCACCGCTACTCATCAATACAATAAAAGCTTTATTACAGGAACATATAAATGACTATTGATGGTCTCTCTAGGGAATCATGTTGCATCAAACACCACGAATTATTAAGCCTAATCACTCAATACAATATGCTTGTTGATAAGATAATCATGACGCATTGAAATGTGCAAGCCTCATCAGATTGAGAAAATGTGGAATTTGCATGAGCCAACATCTAGAACATAAGCTCCCTAAGGCATAAACAACATTGGTGACTGACCTGACTCATTTCACCCTTTAGCCTGTTTATTCTGTCTGCATTTGGATCACTGGAGTAGTATTCCATTTGCTGGCTAAGGACCCTCGAAAATTCATCATTCATACCATAAGCTTGCGCAGACAGAACTGCTCGGCCATACGTTCTCACGAATTTTTGGTGAATTTCTTCAAGAAATGCGAAAGGGATTCTCCCTGCAAAGGAATTCAGTATAGTAAAATATCCACAATATATGTCAATCTTCCAAGGCAACACATCAAAAATGAAAATGAAATCTGTTGGTGTTACTAAAGAGTTAAACCACTATCTAAATTCGAACTAAATTAAAAGGAGAAGTCCACATACAACTACACATTTTCTTCATTTTTGGGGAACAACTAACCAAAGTATATACAAAATCAAGGAAAAGATGCCAAGGTAAAACATATTAAAGAAGGATAGAGAATAGATGTCCCTAAGACAGAATAAAAATATAAATATAAATCAAGAAGAGCAGAATAAACAATGCTGCAGGATATTATTCAGTGATATTGTGAAATGAACCTGTAACTAAAGACCATAAGTCTGCTTAAAAGACAACACTTCACAATATTCTGTTCCTCTGATTTATAAAATGACTTATAGCCCATGGATTAATCACTGAGAGGGGTCCTTGTGGGTTTAATATATCCATTCACCAACTCACTGAAGTATAGTCATCTTCACAATAACCTACCCTAACCCCACTCGTGAGATTACCCTGGTTATGTTGTTTTGTTTAGATATAACTAGATTCAAGCCGAGTATCAATCAGAAACAGTCTCTCTACCATCAGGATAAGGTTGCATACACACCATTCTCCCCGGACCCATGTTGTTGCTGTTGTTTAGATATATCTATATTTGAGTCGACACTATCGAAAACAATCTTTCTACCTTAATAAGGTTGCATACACACCAGTCACCACCCTCCCAGCCCCATTTGTCAGATTACACCGGCTATGTTGTTGATGTTGTTTCAATATATCTAGATTAAATACACATAACAAGAAAGCTGAATCGACATAAACATGAATGTAAACACATTCTAACAACATAACAGCATTATACAAAAGGGTAAAAAATTGCTTACTTCCAGCACTATCATCCGCCATACAGAGAACAGTAAGTCCATCCGTGCGTTTAACATGGAAAATATACCGATCCTGTGAGTACGACGCATTGGAATCATTATTCCCCGGAATTTTCTCCAAAATCTGCCTCGCGATCGTACTCGCGTTCGTTGACGTTCCGCTCTGCTCCGCCAATACCACCGATCCCCTCGCTACCAGCGCATACAATATCGTCATCTCTCTTCCTCTGCACCTTTCTTCCTCTGCATATACATATAAAATTAAAAATATGTATGATTATGCAAGATCCGCCTCTACATTCGTATAAACATTTTTGTATCAAAATTTATAAAAAAAAAAATATGTATATATACCTTCTAATTTCAAATTCTAGATCCGCCTCAATAATATAAATTTAGAGCTAAGTTTGAAGAAAATCGGATCGTTACAGTAGAGCGTTTACCTTTTCTTTTTTTGAGGAAGAAGACGATGAAGAGATGGGCGTTAGATTGATTGACCCACGCTTTACCCTTTCCGAGCTGTCAACTAACTTTAATGCCACCAATCATGGTTTGTTATTTGAATTTAAATTTGGCAAGCATGTGTTTGGATGATATTTGATATGATTTTTATTTCGTTCCGTATTGATTTGACATAGCTTAAAATGATAATTATACTATATTATTGTTCGAATATGATAAATGGAAAAATCACCCCACATGTAATTTGTAGGGTTTGTGTTTGTAAGCTTGTAATGTAAAATTTTAGTGAAATAGACAAGAGTTTCGTCCGTGGAATCATGAAATATTATTATTTTATATAAATATTATTTAATCGATAAATTTATATTTATCCATTTAAAAAATATTTGAAATCCAGTAAATGTTAATTCTGATTACACATCAAATTCATTATAACTTACTAATCTATGTATCATATTTATTGAGTTCGAATCGAAATTTTTTTTTATATATAATGTACAATGAATATATCAAAATCATTGTATCTTGCTAACTTATGTATCATATTTATTGAATTCATATAAGTAAAAGTACAATGTATGTGTATGATCTATTATAATATATTATTTTGTTAAATGATTTGTTGTAATATAAATTCAATAATTCAATGATTCTTAGTAAAAGTAATTTACATAATGTGCATTAATTCTTAATCAAATATTATTAATTATATTTTTACTACAAAAATTTTAATGTATGATGGTGAAGCAATACATTATATAAGCAATATAATTTTTTTTTTTGAAAATCATATCAAAAAATGACTTCTCATTTAAAAGATGTCACAAAATCAACATATCAAAAACATAAAGCATTATATGCGTACAAAGAGATCATTCCACATGCTCTCAAAAGAATTTGCAGTCATGGATTACTGAAAAAATTTCATTTAAAAGCTAGTCAGGGTATGATACCAAACACACTCAAATAATCAACTGAATTTTATGGTGCACTTCAAAAAGACATCGTCAGAACTTTTGACTGCGATAAGAAAAGTTAGAAATGAGCTTCAACTAGATTTAAATTTTAAGAAAAAACAATACACAATAGAATCATTTATTATTAAATTGTGTTAGATTTTTTTTTTTTTTTAGTTGAACGACCCTTGAGGTGGGTCAAAAAAGCATACTGGGATTCGATCCGGATTGGCTGGGAGAACTTGAACCCCCTCAACCATTCGGCCAAGCTTTAAGGAATTACTAATTTATAATATTAATGAGACCATATATTTATATAGATTTTCTAAAAATACATTATCTTATCAGAATAGTTGATTTTTTCATTGGCTCAAGTCGTGATTGGAGAAAATATTATTTGTCACGACCTGAACATGCATCCTGGACGTAGCCGACACTCGAGAATCATTGTTGGTGCTGAGCCTACATCCTGACTGACTACAAGTGGAAGACTAACTCAAGCATACATAAGTATCAAATTGACAGAAACTTATAAAACACTTTACTAAATCTTAAAATTTGAACTAAATATACTGAATACGAAACATAAGTAGTAAATAAAACATTTGAAACTGAAAGACTTTACAACACTGTTTATCTATGAAGCCGCTATTATACAAAGATCAGTCTCATAAGACTAGAGTCCTCCAAAAGCAAGGACATCATTCGAAAGTAGAGAAAGATGAAGTGATCTTGACAGACTCTTGTTAAGGATCCTAATAACTTGT